CTATCCAATTTTTACAGTACGATGGTTGGCTGTTCACGGACTAGCGGTACCCACCGTTTCTTTTTTGGGATCAATATCAGCAATGCAGTTCATCCAACGATAAACCTAATCCGAATTATAGAGCTATGACACAATCAAACCCAAATGAACAAAATGTTGAATTGAATCGTACCAGTCTCTACTGGGGTTTATTACTCATTTTTGTACTTGCTGTTTTATTTTCAAATTATTTCTTCAATTAATAGAAATTAAGATAATAGTATATATATTAGGAATTCTCTTATCCTATTCGGAAGGATCTCATTTCATAATTATCTATGACTGTTTAGGTCTCTAGTATGACTTACTACTTGATCAAATGTGGAGGAAAGTGGGATAAATAAATGGCCAATACTACTGGAAGAATTCCTCTTTGGATAATAGGTACTGTAGCTGGTATTGTTGTGATCGGTTTAATTGGTATTTTCTTTTATGGTTCATATTCCGGATTGGGATCATCCCTGTAATAATCGGATGAATTTCGTTTTCGAAACGAAAGCATAAGAACTCAACAGGGATCCACTCTTTCTTTGATGAATTCGAGGGGGTCCCGTTGAGTTATTCATAATCAGAATATTTTGGTAATTGAGTCAATAGATAACTTTATTCTATGTTTCCAAAAATTCCATTTCCTTTTTTTAGGATCTTAATGAAAAAGGAACTTCATTAATTGGTTCAAAACATTTTTTCTGGATAATATCTGTCGAAACTTTTTCTTTCAACTTGAAAGAAAAATAAAAGAAAGAAGCAATTAGTTGATTTACTTCTTCTGGGTGGCCCAATAATATATAATAATTATAGTGTGTAAGAATTGGGAATTCTAGAATCTATTTTCTAGCGGTCAAATATTCTGTAGAACCAAACCTTTTTGATACTAATGATACTAACGGAATCTTACTAGAAGTCTTTTTTTTGACATTAAATGAAATTCATAGTAAAAAAAATATTAATATCAAATTAGAACTATTAAAAAAAAAAATCGAAATATTCAATTTCATTAAGCTAACAAATATGGAAAAAATGCAGAAGCGTTCATATATTGGACATAAGTTTGTATAGAAGGTTTTTCTTCTATCGCTTCGCCAACGAAACGAAAAATGGAATTCTATTCCCCGTCCTACCTATCCAATCTAATTCAAGACCCAATCAGTAGACGGACACTACAGCAGTAGTAGAGTGAAAAGACTTTGACTTCAAGATTGATCTATTCCTTTTTATTTCACTACTCGAATTCATTTTTCATGGAATCCGAGACGCAAAGATTGAAAGCATTTTAATGCGTAGAATTTTGAATCAAACAAGTCTCAAGACAAGAACGCTTTCCCTTGCTTCCACATGGAAAAAAGACAAAGTTTTTGTATGAACAAAACGGAATACATTATCTTGTCGATCAGGCGACACCCGGATTTGAACTGGGGAAAAAGGATTTGCAGTCCCCTACCTTACCACTCGGCCATGCCGCCAAAAAACCTGATAAAAAAAAATGGATCAGAATATCCCTCCTCTCCAAAAAACCAACGTATACCTTTTCAGTCACAAAAGAAAAGTAAAAATTTCGGGACAAATAGCAAGCAACCATTAATTACAAATTCCGGAAGAATTCAGGAATCTTGATTTTTTAGAATCCTTCTCTATTTCCATTATAAGAAGAACTGTTAATATATGTCAACTCCAGAATATCCATTTTCATTGTTACACATTATCTAATCGGGTATCAATTCTAGATTACAGGGAATTTTCAATAAATTCTCGTACTTTCATTATTTTGCCAATTTTTCATTAAATAGATTGATGAATGAATAGAAAAATTAACACAACATATGCTGTCTCGAACAAATAGGCCTGCAATAACGTAAGAGACATATATAGATAGCTATAGTTGAAGTTAGATCTATGCCAAGTCTTTTTATGCACTGCAAACCTCCAATTCTAAAATAAAGGGTCAAAATATCTCTCTTCTTTGTGAATTCTTATTCTTTTTTGAACACTTTAAATGGTAAAGGGCTAAAAAAAATGGTATTTTTTTTTCTGATTATTTTATTTTTGATATCTTTCTCTCATGGAGCCGAGCAAATCCTGAATTTATTTTTGGGATATCAATCGAATGGGAATACGGAATATCATACTATACTAATAGTACAAATAGAATTCATTTTTTTTAGATTGTTAAAAATACCCCGACCCGAAGTCTAGGTGAAATGGATCAATTTGTTTCCATTGATATTACAAGTTCAATTCTATTTGTTTGTTTTGTTGCAAATTCTAATTGGAGTATCCAATTTCCTCTTTTCATAATCGGTATTTCATAGACGTAGTTCGGTAAAATTTCATGTGATTCAGTAAAGTAAAAAGAACAGAAATTCCATTATTGCTAAATCTATTCTATTCATGTGATTCGATGAAGAATGACAGCAAATAATGGGCTATTTTCTATAAAAAAAGGGGGGGAATAAAAAATGTTTGGGGTTGGGAATGAAGGAATGTCTACACTACCCGGATTGAATCAAATACAATTTGAAGGATTTTGTAGATTCATTGATCGGGGCTTAACAGAAGAACTTTTAAAGTTTCCAAAAATTGAAGATCCAGATCAAGAAATGGAATTTCAGTTATTTGCGGAAACATATCAATTGGTCGAACCCTCAATAAAAGAAAAAGATGCTGTATATGAATTACTTACATATTCCTCTAAATTATATATATCCTCGGGATTAATTTGGAAAAACAGTCTGGATATCCAAGAACAAATTATTTTTATTGGAAACATTCCTCTAATGAATTCCCTGGGAACTTTTATAGTAAATGGAATATACAGAATTGTAGTCAATCAATTATTGCAAAGCCCCGGTATCTATTATCGGTCAAAATTGGACCATAACGGAATTTCAGTCTATACTGCCACAATAATATCAGATTGAGGAGGAAGATTAGAGTTAAAAATGGATAGAAAAGCAAGGATATGGGCTCGTGTAAGTAGGAAACAGAAAATATCTATTCTAGTTCTATCATCAGCTATGGGTTCGAATTTAAGCGAAATTCTTGCGAACGTTTGTTACCCCGAAATTTTCTTGTCTTGCCTCACTGAAGAGGAGGAAGAAAACATTGGGTCAAAAGAAAATGCCATTTTGGAGTTTTATCGACAATTTGTTTGTGTAGGCGGAGATCCCATATTTTCTGAATCTTTATATACGGAATTACAAAAAAAAATTTTTAAACAAAAATGTGAATTAGGAGGAATTGGTCGGCGAAATATGAACCGAAGGCTGAATATGGATATACCGGAGAACAATACATTTTTGGTACCGCAAGATATATTGACAGCTGCAGATCATTTGATTGGAATGAAATTTGGAATGGGTACACTTGACAATATGAATCATTTGAAAAATAAACGTATTCATTCCGTAGCAGATCTCTTACAAGATCAATTTGGATTGGCTCTCGTTCGTTTAGAAAATATAATTAGAGAAAAGATGTGTAGAGCAATTAGAGATAAATTGATCCCGACTA